CAATTTAAAATGTATATTTTAATTGCAAATAAAATGTCCATCCATTTGGATTACACAGTTTTAACTATATATATATATATATATATATTCTATTTGTTTCAATCTCATAATCATTCAGTTTTGTTTTTCCATAATTAGCCAGATTTATTGATTTGTTTTTACAATAAACAGATTCACGCTGATTCTAAGAAATTGTGAAAATATGATTATTGAAATAAAATAACAGATGCAAAATATGCCAGGATTCATTTTTTATTTATGTTGTAGAACAAAATTTGAACATCTCTTTAAACAGTGTTAACCACAGACCAGCGTTTAGGCACAAACAAAAGAGCATTTATCAGTATGATTGTGCTGTAAGTGAATCTGATTCGCATCAAAGTTACAGTTCTGTGCTCATTACACACATTTACATAAGTTCACAGGAATAATACACAATTACACTCTCACATATGTGTGCGTATGCGTGCACACACACACACACACACACACACACTCACTCACTCACTCACTGTATTACCTGGAGGCCCTGAGGAGCGTGACTTTTGGCTGCTAGTTTTGACATTTAGGATGGATTTTAGTGAGCTGCTGTCAGAGCAGGTGAAAAGATGAATGGAATTGAAATGATTTGCATCTCATTTATGTTTATGCATTTGGCAGATGCTTTCATCTAAAGTGAATCACATGCATTATCATTTTTTTTATAATCAATCTGGTGCCAATCTTTTATATTGAAGTCAGAATTAAAAGCAAAATCATGATCTTAATCCATGTATCTGGTCCTATTGTGTTTTAAAGGGGTCATAGGATGCCCATTTTCCACAAGTTGATATGATTCTTTAGGGTCTTAATGAAAAGTCTGTAACATAGTTTGGTTAAAATTTCTCAATCGTAGTGTAAAAAACCCCTTTTTTACCTTGTCAAAAACAGCTCTTTTCAGATCAAGCCGTATTAGCACATTATTAGGAAAGGTGATTTGCAAAGATTCATTAAAAAACCTTGTACTCACTTCTTCTGGAGGTGAGGCTGGATCACGAATGATTCGCGCGAACATAGACGCATTTATGTAGATAAATGCGGGGGAGCATTCCGTTCAGAAACAAATAATCCACTGCGAGTTCAGCGGCTCAGATGTCGGGAGTAAATGACGACTGCTGTTCATTATTACATCCAACAACAGAACACCTCAATCGCTTGTTAGGAGTCATTCTTGTCTACATCTGCTCCAGCGGTGAAACAATAGAGGACTGATGACGGCTCACTCAGGGCGGAGCTAAGGCAAGACACCAGTCCAGCCTGTGCTGAAACGCTACTGTCAATCAAACAATCGTGGGAGGGGCCTGTCTGTGTGACGTCACACAGACAGGCATCTGAGATCGGCTCGATTTGAGAAAGGGGAATGTAGCATCCTATGACCCCTTTAATAACATCTTTGATTTAAACATCAATAGCTAAAATACTGCTAGAGTTCAGTTCGTGTTTGAATCAGTTCAGAATGCCTGATTCAGTGAATCAGTTTGATTAAACTGATTCAGTCTCTGATTCATTTCTATTATCACTCAAAAATGTGCCACTGAAGAGGCATTTTTCATGTTAAAATGTTTTAGAAAAAATAAATATTGCTGATTATTGCTATTGATGCATATAAATGAAAATTATGTCATTTTGGGCCTTGATTTTTAATACTGTATTAAACATTTCGAATGAAGTTTATTCAAGAAATTCCAAGAAAATTCATACACTAAACCATTCAAAAGTTTGAGGTCAGTATGATTTTTTTTTAAATGTTTTTGAATGTCTCTTTTGCTCACCGAGGCTGCATTTATTTGATCAAAAATACAGTAAAAATTGTGAAATAATATGACAATTTAAAATAACTGGGGGACTGAGGGAAGACGTGTTTCATTGTAAGTTAATGCTGTTAAATAGAGAGGGAAAAAAATACATAAAAAAAAAGGCCTTCTAGCGTAGGCTATT